ATATATATATATATATATATATATATATGCCTACAAGCCACAATTTTTTTTAATGTAATAAACCTCTATTTTATTAATATTATTATTAATGCATGTTAGAAGGTCTGCGGTGATAGAGTAATGAATTATCTTCTTAGCGTTGCACGAAAAACCATCACATACATACAATTAAAGAGAAGTAAGCAGAAGGAGATACTTCAATTTTTACGTAAAAAATCTTAGAAATGAGAGAAAATCATGGGTCTAACCTAGCTGAAATAATACACTAGGAATTGTGAGCACACATATCCACTCTTTTCCTAAATTAGGGAATTTTGAGTTACAAAATTGATCATTGTAAATGTACAATAGTAGGTCAACAAAATTGTTGTAGTCTGGTTGTAATGAATGTAGTTTTTGGTGATAGCAGACTGCAAGGGCCATAGTCGGGAGCTGCAATAGCTATGATAACCTGCTGTAAGTCATGGATGTTGGAGTTGAGAGTTGCACTAGTTGTGTTAATGTCCATTAGCTGTAGAGGTCAGAGTTGGGAGTTGCGTAAGTTATGAACTACATAAATCATAGTTGGTTACGTAGTTCGTAGCAGTGAGATATGATGATGTATGTAGGCTACAAAGGTGAGAGTCGAGAGTTGCATGAGTTGTAAACCACATAGATCGTAATTAGTCACTTAGACCATAGTGGAGATCTATGATGACATTTGTGAACCTTAGAGGTCAGAGTCAGAAGCTACACAAGCTACAAGTCACCTAAGTTATAGTTGATCATATAGAACATAGTGATGAGTTGCGATGGTGTTTGTATGTTGCAGGGGCCAGAGTCGGAAGCACATCAGCTGTGAGTTATGTAGGCTGTAGTTGGTCACATGGGTCATAATGGTGAGCTATGATGATATCCATAAACCACAAATGCCTGAGTCCGGAGCTGTACAAGTTGTGGATCACTTAAATCGTAGTAGTGAGCTGCGGATGTCATCTATAGGTTATTGGGGCCAGATTTGGTAGATGTGATGATGTTCGTAAGTGTCATGGGTTGGACTCAAGGGCTACGATGATGTTTGTAGGATGTAGGAGTCAGATTTGAAAGTTGCATGAGCTGTAAGCCACCTCAATCAATAGGTCATAGTGGTGAGCTGTGATGATGTCAATGGGTCGTAGAGGCCGAAGTCAGGAGTTGCACAAGCTGCAAATCACGTAAGCCGTAGTTAGTCACATAGGCCATAATAATGAGTTGCGATGACATTTTTTAGTTGTAGGGGCCAGAGTTGGGAGCTATATGAGTTGTGAGTTATGTAGGTCGTAGTTGGTCACGTAGACTAAAATGGTGTGTTCTGATGACGTTAGTAGGTCATAGAGGCCAGAGGCGTGAACTGCACGAGCTGCAGACCATGTAGGCCATAGTTGGGCACATATGTCTTAACGGTGAGGCGCTGTGATGATGTCCAAAGGCTGCACAGGCCGGAGTCAGGACTTGCACGAGTTGTGGACCAACTAGGTTATAATTATTCACATAGGCTGTAATGATGAGTTGTGATGATGTTCGTAGGCCGCAGAGGCTAGAGCCAGGAGCTACACATGTTGTAGTTGGTCACATGGGTCATAATGGTGAGCTATGATGATATCCATAAACCACAAATGCCTGAGTCCGGAGCTGTACAAGTTGTGGATCACTTAAATCGTAGTAGTGAGCTGCATATGTCATCTATAGGTTATTGGGGCCAGATTTGGTAGATGTGATGATGTTCGTAAGTGCCATGGGTTGGACCCAAGGGCTACTATGATGTTTGTAGGATGTAGGAGTCAGATTTGAAAGTTGCATGACCTGTAAGCCACCTCAATCAATAGGTCATAGTGGTGAGCTGTGATGATGTCAATGGGTCGTAGAGGCCGAAGTCAGGAGTTGCACAAGCTGCAAATCACGTAAGCCGTAGTTAGTCACATAGGCCATAATAATGAGTTGCGATGAAATTTTTTAGTTGTAGGGGCCAGAGTTGGGAGCTATATGAGTTGTGAGTTATGTAGGTCGTAGTTGGTCACGTAGACTAAAATGGTGTGTTCTGATGACGTTAGTAGGTCATAGAGGCCAGAGGCGTGAACTGCACGAGCTGCAGACCATGTAGGCCATAGTTGGGCACATATGTCTTAACGGTGAGGCGCTGTGATGATGTCCAAAGGCTGCACAGGCCGGAGTCAGGACTTGCACGAGTTGTGGACCAACTAGGTTATAATTATTCACATAGGCTGTAATGATGAGTTGTGATGATGTTCGTAGGCCGCAGAGGCCAGAGCCAGGAGCTACACATGCTATTTGCAACACATGCAATAATTAGTCATATAGATCATAGTGGTGAGCTAGGATGGCTTCTGCATGCTGCAAAAGCACTAGACTACGTAGGCTGTAGTTAGTCACATAGGCCAAAGTGGTCTGCTGTGAGTAAAGAACTTTAGGAGTTTAGAGAAGTCACTCTGTTTGAGTTGCATTATTATAATGTCTTCGGGATGTATTATTGCAAATTATGTAGGTCACATTGTTACACCATCATCAGAGGTGTGATTGCATCATATTTGTGAATGTTATTACACAGTCTTCGAGACGCATCACTATACAGTGTGCTGGACAAGATATTGCTTTTCCGGGTGCTTCACAATTCCACAACGTACGTACGTCGGACTCTGTAATGCACATTATGACTTCACAAGAGATTAGTGATGTCAGAATTGAGTGATTTTGGGCTTATTGGATTTGTCTTATCATGACGCACGATTTAATTATAAGCTCATCAAATTTGAAATCAGTTTGATCTTGCAAGTAATGCACAAAAAAAAACTTCTAAAAGTGGTTCAACAGCTTCATCTGTGCATGATTGGACTCGGATTGAACCAACTTTAGTATCATTGGGTCCATAATTACTGAAATCAAAATTCTAGATAATTTCAATCATGATTTGGATATTTTTTTCTTCAAAAAACTTTCTCTCTATCATATTTCAAGATCCATGTTTGATAAAAAAAATTTATTTATATCATTTCAATTATTATTGTTCAACCTTCCAGAATCATGAGTGAATTTTCACTAGTCTTTTCATCTCAAGAATATTGATCACTGAAGAGACAGTAGCACCGAACGACCCAAAAATGGTGAAACAAACGTCTGTTATGTCAAAGCAATAAACAAACGCATTCATTGCCTTACACAGATTTGAATTCAAAAAACGCATCACTCATTAATGTTTCCGCTACAGTTTGTTTCGTACGCATGAATTATCGTAACAGAAATCAGCAGCAGACCAAGCCAGCTCAACACCACATCATCTTCATCCGTCCCAACTTCCCCCTCATGCCAAAAAATAAAAAAAATAACAAATACAGAAAAAAAATAGAACTAATTAGATAAATAACTAAATAAAATTTAAACGAATAAATTAACAGCTTACAGTTCAGCTCACTCAGCAAACACAATATCACAAATACAACCACAGAACTATCTTTACAAATTACAACGCCATACCAAAACCAAATTTATTAAGAAAAAATAATTCGCTCTGAACATCCTCATCCAATCTGGCACAAAACACCCATCCGGCACGCATTTTAATGCAGAATAGGTCGCCCTTAAGTTTTGCATAGTATGCCGTACCCTGAATGTTCTGAACAAGAATTCATGAAAATGTCGTCTGCAATTTTTTTTTTTCGGTTTATGGAACATTTCCTTCACTTCTGCTCCAGCCTTATAGCTCCTTCTTTGCGCTTCCTATGTTTTTACCATATTTTAAATTCATGAGAAAGTAAATAATATAGGAGAGATTAACTAATTACCTGCATGATTTTTCCGGCACATCTCTCCGGCGACGTCAGCGGCGGCGGAAGAGTTATCGGAATTATCGTTCTTTCGGGCCGACTGTGCGCTGCTGGCACGTTTAAGGCCCAAGAACTCCTTCCAACGAACGAAGCCCCTGGGCTGCTGGCCACCCTCCCCACCATTCTGGAGGGCCCCGAGCTCATCTCGGAGAGTGGTGACCATTGCCGACGGGCCCGTGCTCAGCGGAACCATGCGGCCCTTGAAGAAGAGTTCGTCGGCGGAGATCATGGGCCGGACTCCGACGGCAAACTCGAAGGTTGGGTCGGGCGTTACGATGTCCCTAGGAGGAGGTTTTGCATCTGCGACGAGATCGCTGGAGAAGGATATGCGGGGGCTCGCCGGCGGCGGCGTTCCGTAGAAGGACTGGTGGTCATTTAAGGTATTGATACAAGAAGACATGAGAGAACGGGGTGAACTTTAGGAGTGATGGCTGATGAGGAAGTCGATTTGAGTGTTATATCTGTTTGTGTGGCCGAATAAATAAACATCACGAGGGGGATGGGGCCAGGGTTTACATATATAGATGGAAAATTATTCAGATTCGATTCAAATTTTTTTTTTTTTACATTCGATTCAAAATTCCTGCCATAAATCACTTAATTTTTATCTTTTTTACATCATAAAAAATTTGGAGGGTTTACATATATACCCCTCAATTTCGATGTATTTACGTATTTCACATCTAAATTTTAATTTTTACATATATATTATTTTATTTATGCATGTGTTGGATCCTAATTTGTCCTTTGTGAATACCCCTTCAGAGTTAGGGCTGACAAATGAGGGAAGAGTAGGGTAAGATTATAATTTCCTATAAAGAGAGCTGGGGATCGAGGTTCCTTTATTTGTATTTTTGCCTCCTACTTATATATGAGTATTTTGTACGATTACGAAAAGGAGATAACTGTTACGGAAATCGCTCTTAATACAATGAATGCTCTTATTAACCATATAGATTTCATATTGTATCTATATTTATAATTTGAATTTTAACATGACGGTAATAGACATATCGACTTGCTTGAATTCGACTGATTGAGGCAACCAGCTGAGTGGCGACTATGCTCTCTGAAATACGTGTTGGTCGGCCGAGGCGACTGGTTCAATGTAGATCTCGTCCGTCGCGGTAAAGGCGGGTCGACTGATTAGCCACGATCAAGGATTCTTGTCTGCTTCTCGGTCGGTCGGGTCTGTCGCTCGAGTCTCTGTCATGGCGTGTCGGTAGATTCTCAACCACGTGATTAGCAGTAGGGCGATAGGACGCCTTGGTTGTTCAACTGTCATATGGGCCCTTTAGATGCTTTGAGATTCGTGCTGGTGGTTATGGTGTCTGCATATTAGTTCATTGAATTTTTCTGCTCCTTGAAAGTGACAACTACGATAGAGACAGATAAATTCATAGTATTCATTGATACTAAAATCAAAAAGTCAATTTAAGAATCAATTCTCGTTGGATTCAGTGCCAAATATGTTTCTTTAAATAGTGTGATAGGCTTGTCATTGCATTTGTTATCGTCATTTTCCCCTGATCAACCGATTTGAGTCATGACCCATGATCTTAGGAAACTCCATGTAGACCCCAAGATTCTGGCAAAAATGAGCTACAGGCCTTCGGCTTCCGTAAAGAAGCTCAAGGCCAGGAAAGAAAAGCGGTTGAGGACCAAAACTGCACCAGCTGATCAGGTCGGCTTACCTGGGGACCCTGAGGGGATGTCGAAGGTCCACCGTCGGGAGACCATGATTCCTGAGTTGGGCATGGGTTCAAGCTCCGAGGGCCAGTAGTCCTTGCCCGTCAAAGTCATCGAGGAGGGAGAAAAGAGACCAGGGGAGCGGAGATGAGCATCTCTTCCCAGCCAATGCTGCAGGAAGGCAAAGGCACCTTGCAACAAAAGAATGGGAGAAGAGGTCTGGAGACCATCTCTTTAGTGGATAGGATCATGAATGCATAAAGACTCTTTTTGGCTATCGTCGATCTTGTAATAGCTCCTTGAAATTTTTAATGTGCAGTGAATCGGTCTAGTCGTAGGGTCACCAAGACGGTGGCAGTCAGAAGACGCTGCAGAGACTGTTTCTGCAGTGGCTGCTCTACAGAGCGAACTTGCGGGAGTCATGTCGGTAGTCATTTTGAGAGTATACTGACAGTTCACACCTTTGCCTTTGTTGGTACTGGACAATAGCGAATGGAGGATTGGTCGCCCCCACTTGGAGCCGCAGGGCAACAGATAGAAGGGACTGGATCTTTATTGACAGACAGTTCACACCTTTGCCTTTGTTGGTACTGGACAGTAGCAAATGGAGGATTGGTCGCCCTCACTTGGAGCCGCAGGGAAACAGATAGAAGGGACCAGATCCTTATTGACAAGGGTCAGTTTGTCGGTGGGAACGATCGGAGGTCAGTTCTTCGTTCCTTCAAAGTTCAAGGGCTTGGATGTGGCGACGCTGCAGGCGGAGGTTACTGTTTTGCGGGATGGCCTGGCCGAGGTGTTACACTAGTTGGGGGCACTTCAGGTGTCGACGACTTGTATGAATTGCACCACAAGGCCGACTAAATAGGACAACTTACAGTAGGAGGGGCGATGGTCCTCCGAAGGTTGACTCGGAAAGGGTATGTCCTATTGGAGGTCTTGGAAGACCCACTCATTAAACATTTTATTTTAGATTTATAATAATGCTCTTTGGAAATGAAAAGAATAAATTTGAAAAAATATTTATTATGTTGCTCATCATTGAGTAATGCTTCATTTTTTTGTTTATCCTATAAATAGGGTGTGTGACCGTAGTTTCTTACTTTATGCGTTTCAGTTCTTGCATTCAAGCTTTTGATTTTTCCTCTCTTCTTGTTTTGTCCTTCCAACCGTCTTTAGTTTTCTACAATGGCCCCGAACTATTCCCCTACTCTCTTTGATTTTGTTAAGGGTGTCGGTCCTTCATTCTTGATAGATAATAAAGTGAAGGAGTTGCAAAGGTGGTATATTATGCGAGTTAACGTCACCCTTCAGAAGTTGTCGGGGTCGGCTCGGGCGACAGACCTTCTCGATAGAATAGAGTCTTTTACCAAGACCAGTTCAAATAAAGCCTCTTGTTGCCTCTGTGCAATGGGCTCCAAAGCATCTTTAACACGTAGTTATTTTGATACAAGTGATATTGAACTCCAAAGTTGCGATAATGACGTTCGTTCTTTTCTATTAGTAAGAGCATATTTCGTGGAATATCGATCTCTTTAAGAATTTTTTCTTGTTTAAGTTCAACAAAGATGGCTTCACTATGTTTACGACGGAAAAAAAAACCCCACTTAATATGAATCGAGGATCACTCAACTTCATATAGGAACAATCAACACATGTGATTTAGGGCTTCCTCTAGGTAAATCAACGATCCATCACATAGGTACCTCGACCGATCGATACATATCGTCCGACACCTCCACCCCGCGTGAGCAATTGAGCCCACGCGCCTAGTCCGGACTAAACATAGGGTCAGCTAAGGGAAAAGGAAATTTCACCACCATGATAGTTGCGTACGCATTCTCTTTATGCTGAAGAAAAGCCCACACTTCCGGCGAATTCCGACGGTGCTCTGGTTTGTGCGCCAATATACCTCACAGAAACTTAGTGACATTTGACACCGGCGAAAGAGGGTAACCCACGAGGATGCCGGCGAGAAGAAGCGCCAGTGGAAGCCTTTCCCACGAGGTGAAAGAACTGTGCACCTCCTCAAACAACGACGTTGTTTGCCGTCCATCGACGTCGAAGTGCTCTTATTTATCACAATACCACATTTAAGTTTCTAAACAAATTTCAAAATCCTTCACTAATTATAAATTATTGGCAGTCTCTTTATATATATTGTTTAAGTCATTACATTTACTTTTATTTGCACATTATAAATTTTAGTAAACTTAATTTCCATCTTTAGATAGTTGCTGCAATCTTAAGTTAAATTTTTTTAAAATCAAAATTCATGTATTTCATTTTATTGTTTACCTGTTTTCGGCTTCCTCGTGGGATTGATACTGGGGTTTTTAACGAAAACTTTATATTATTTGAAACGATATGTATACTTGTGTAATACCACTAGTAAGAAAATTATTTCTTTAATCATATTATCACTACTCGCTAAATATAATTTGGGTCAAGTTTTTAGCATATTAAAGAGTATAAATATCTGCGAAAATGCGGGTCGGGTCGACCACTAGTAAGAAAATTATTTCTTTAATCATATTACATTTGTTTTCACTAGTCGCTAAATATAATTTGGGCCAAGTTTTTAGCATATTAAAGAGCATAAATATCTGCGAAATTGCGGGTCGGGTCACGGGTCGAGTGGCCGGGCAAAAGGGAGAAGAGACAAAAAGGTTGGCGGCCGGTTGCTAGGAAGGAGGCTCGGCGGCTGAAGGTCTCAGCAAAACTGGAAGCTTCGGCGAGTGTCAGTGGCGTCGAGAGTTACGCCGACAAGATAGGGCGGCGAAAGAAGCAGGCTCGACCGACCCTTAAGATGAAGGATAAGGAGGTGGTGGCTTGTCATGTGGCTAGAGGAGCTCCAGCGAGTGAGGGAAGTCTGGTGACCGGCTTTGCCGACGAATAGGGAGATCTGGCGAGGTGAGATGAGATGGAGATCTGGCGAGGCGAGAGGGAGCTCGGGCTAGGTTTCATGAACAAGGCGATGACATCGTAAGGGTTTTAAGGTTCGGGAGAGAGAGGAGCGGTTGTGAGGTTAAATAGGTAGGATATTATTATTATTATTATTATTATTATTATTATTATTATTATTATTATTATCATTCACATATTTTTCGTCTGGATATGACATCGTGGTGAAATGAACGTCCCCTAGGTAAAATCAACGTTCCATATGCACTTGTGCAGCCCGTTTCGTCATCCGGGGTTGTTCGAACTATTTTTTCTGTAATCGGACACAAAATGATAATTCACACATTTTTAGCATGTATGCGAAGTTGTATCGAAACGAACGTCCTCAGTAGGTAAATTTGACGTTCCGAACACATTCGCGTGGTTATTTTCGTTGTTCGAGGTCATTTGGACAACTGCGTCAATAGTTACGCCAATTCGAACTAGTTTTGTGCGCGGCGCGATGAATAATATTTGCTGACTCGATCATAGTCGTACAACGTGCAAAATGCTGACTGGCATTCGCCTAAGCAAACACCAAAGCTTAACAGAATGTCTTGGCAACATGCCCCTCAACAGGTGCCAAAAGGTCTTGAGTGGGTTTTTAAACTACCAGATGTTACAGACATGTCGTAGGCTATCCCGAGTCATGCAGGTGGACATTCTACAGTTGCAACATCAAAATTGATGCCAACAAGCTTCTCGTTTGTACTATTTCCCACTTCTCGTTTGTGGCATATCCACGATCACCACACCACCTTTTAGAATGTTAGATCCTAATTTGCTCTTTGTGAATACCCTTCGAGAGTTAGGGTCGGACGAAAGAGGGGAGAGAGGGAGA